GCTTCATCCTTGAGGGCCTGAAAGGCCACGAGGACTTGCTCCTCTGTGAGGATATGCTGCAAATAAATGTAACTATTGACACTGGCCTCCCAGTTGTCAAAGTTCTCCTCCTTCTTTCCCCCGTACGCGTCTGGGAACTTGAGCTTTACAGGCTCTTTACGGGGTCTGCCCTCGCCCTCCACAGCAGCTATGGCCTTGGCACCCTCAATGGCGCCTTCGCAGTACTTCCCTACATTATCCCTCAGTTGCCTGACTTCGCCCCCAATGTGGGTGACGATCTCTTGCGCAAACTCTCTAAACCCTGACCGCATGGCTTTTAGGGTGATGTCTTGGCCCTGATTGGCTTGCCGTTCCTCTAGCCAGGCCTCACTCAACACCTCTAAGTACCCCAACATCTTGTCCATTTTGGCCGAAACATTTGTTTGTGCCTGGACTTCCTGTCTACACGTCCGCACCTTTTCCACTTCTGCGGTCAATCGGGTGGATTCCTCCCTTCTCTTCTTCTTTTCCCTCTTCATTCTCAGTTTCCATTCCAATCTCATCTCCTCCTCGACTTCTTGACGTTCAAGGGGGTCCTCAATCATTGAGAGGGCCCTGCCAAACACCTCCTTCTCTTCATGTGGCACATACATTTGTGCCTCCTCATCTTCACCCAACGATATATTAGCAACCCACTCACTTATTCCATCTCTGCATCTTTATCCTCCTTCGTGCCACTGCTCCCTTCTCTGCTCTCAATTCTCATTCTCTCCTTCTCTTCTTCTGCTGCCGCTTCTTCTTCAGCAGCCTTCTTCTTTTTCTCCATTTCCTCTTCTAACTCTTTCATCTTCGCCGCCTGCTCGTCTGCGATAGCTTTTAGCTTCGCTTGTTTCTCTCGCTCTTTTCTCTCCCTGTTCTCCTTGACTAAGGCGGCCATCTTCTCTTGTTGCTCCTGGGTATAGGGGCTAGTGCTTTTCCCACTACGTAGGTCCACCATGGTGATAGGTGCACAATCAGAATGATTCCACTCCTCACAACGTAGACYCTAACCCCTGACTGACAAACCTATTGACTCGATCTAAGACTCACARAATCSTGACAGGGAYCCTRCCCGCTATGGTCTCTAGCCTAGACCTAACTATGGCTGTCACTACCGAACCAGTGGCTGATCTGGAGGCATTTAAGGAGATCCCCCGTAACTCCGCAAGAATTCTTTAACGTCGCAGATAGGACGACCTGATCAGCTTGGTTCTGCCTGTGCTTTCAGCCCACAACTCGGCCTTTCCGGCCTACTGTGCCACACCGAGCAGCCCGCCGGTCTGTACCAGTCCTTGGGAGGGTTTGTATCCCCCGGGACAGTCGAGTCGTCAGACACAGATCCTCAACCTTACTTGGTCCGGTAGGGGAGTGGTTCAAACAGGCCCTCAACACTTAAAGACTGCCTGTGTTTCAGCCCGCAACTCAGTCTTTCAGGCCCACTGTGCCCTACCAACCGTTTCCAGCCGGTCAGCACCGGTCCTTAAGAGGGTTATGCCCCCCTGGAAAGTTGGATCAGCCACAGTCTCAGCTCTACTAGCACTGGTAGGGGAGTGGTCAGCAGGCTCTATCCTTCATCCACAGAGTACTATCACCTAGGACAGAAGAGACTCGGTGCAGAAAGAATAGACAGACTGACTTGACTCAGCAAGTACTGAGGGGTGTGTGCACATCCACAGGGCAAGGGATAGGCTGAGGGCTTGGCGAGATGTTACCAACTCCAGCTTGGTCAAAGTCTTGGTCAACGCTTTGGTCAACGGCCTTGGTCAACGCCGTTCAATGCTGCTATGACCCCCGGTCAACTCTGGTAATCGCCGGTCAACACCTCCGGTCAACCCTCTTGGTCAACCCTCCGGTCAGCTATGGCTGCCGGCTCGTCTTCCTCGCCAACCCTCTTCTTCTTCTTCACCTTCCTCGCCTCCTTTCACCCCGCTGCCTTCTTCTTCTCTTTTTTTTTTTTTTTTCTTGGTCGGCCTCCTCTTCACCTCTTGGCTATGGCCGCTTCTCTCCCTTCTCGGTCTCTCTCCCTCTGTCCTCCTCTCCCCCTACTCGTCACTCCGTGGTGCAAGCTTCGCGGCTATGGCCGCTGTCTTCTCCTTCGTGGACTGCGCAACTCGTTTCACAGGTAAGTGACAACCAAACTTGTATCGCTCATCTCTCTCTCTCTCTCTCTCTCTCTCTCTCTCTCTCTCTCTCTCTCCCCC